ACTTCCTATCCACATTATCCCCTGCATAGTCTGAATCAACCATACAGTCTAAAATATCAGCATCTGCATTATCATAATATGTTAACTTTAGATTCTTAGTTTTATACAAATATTTTAACACCCTCATTGCATATTTGTAATGTGTTCGGTTATAACAACTTTGATATCTACTCAAATAATTAACGCTGTACGCTACATCTGGTCTTGTGCCTGTACTAATATACAATAATTCACCTATTATATTTCTGTACTTAATACTTTCATCGACCTCACTAGCTTGCTCTAATTTTAAATTTGTTTCCATAGGAGTATCATATAACTTAGTATTTACCAAATTATACTTTGCAGCCAAAGATTCAATATACTTTGTTTGACTTAATGTCATCACATTTTTATCATCATTATACTCAATATCTATGCCAATATAGCTTTTAATTTTCCCCAAGTCTTTCATTGCAAATCGTTTCATTAAACTTGTTTTCACCTCTTTTATTTTATTTTTATCTTTACAACATATTAAAAGATCATCAACAAATATTAATATGTATATTGGATCTTTGCTTGCTTTTTTAACATACAAACAGTAATCATAACTACTTCTAACAAAATTCAAAGTTTTTATAAATATATCAAAACAATCATACCACACTCTAGGACTTTCTTTGAGACCATAGAGAGCTTTTTGCAATTTGTAAACTTTATTATCTCCTGTTTTATAACCTTCTGGTTGATTTACATAAACTTCTGACTTTACATAACCATTTAAAAAGGCTGTTTCAACATCCATTTGCTCTACAAATAATTTATTTTTACAACTGTATGACAATAAAATTTTCAAAGTTTGCATTTTTCCAACAGGTGAGTAAGCATTTTCATTAAAATCTTTTTGCTGAAACCCTCTCACAACCAATCTAGCTTTATATTCATTATTACTTTTCTTTTTAAAAACCCATTTAACATCAATTACCTTTTTATCTTTTGGTTTTTCTACAATTTGCCAAGTATTATTTTTATTTAAACTATTTATTTCAGAATCCATGGCTATTTGCCATTGCTTACTATCATTGGAGTTCATCGCCTCCTCGAATGAATTTGGTACATTTGCATCAATATGGTTAACATAAATAAAGTGTGTAACTGGATTACCATATCTAGAAACTGGGATTCTCTTTCTTTTCTGTGATTCTACTAAAACGTCATTTTCTCTATTATTATTTACGTTACTACTAGAATAAGTCTCATCTGCATCTACAAAGTTTTCATCGGTTTCATATTCATTTTTAACCTCTTCATTTGAAACATCTAAAGTATTATCACTTTCCAAATCTTTATTATTTTGATTGTCTACTTTTTCCAAACAAATTAACTGAGTATTTCTTCAATTACCTGTACATGCCTTGCATTAATTATTCTGTTATTTAACAAAACTCTGTAACTATTTTCATTATAACCCACTAAAATTCCTAGTTGAGCTTTATCATCCCATTTACTTTTTCTTAACACTTCAGGAACTCTAACATAGACTCTACTTCCATAAATTTTTAAATGCTCTACATTTGGTTTGACCCCAAAAAATATCTCATAAGGAGTTTTATTTTCAACTGTATTTGCAATAGTACGATTCTTTAAATAAGCTGCTGTTTTTATTACTTCAGGCCAGTACCTCCTATGTATTTTAGCTTCTCTCATTAAACATCTACCTATATCCATAGCAGACCTATTATACCTCTCCGCTACTCCGTTTAACTCATGAACATAAGGTGGACATGGTAACAACTCTATGCCCTTATACCTTATAAAATTATAAATATCCTTATTTAAATACTCTCTACCATTGTCACACTGAATCTTCTTGACTCTTTTATTAAATTTATTTTCTACTAAATTTATAAACTCTATAAAACACTTTGCAGTTTCAGCTTTACTTTTAATACAAAATATCCTGGTACACTTACTATAATCATCAATAAAGGTTAAAAAATATTTTTCTCCACCATAACCAGTTGTGTTATGTGGCCCATTCAAATCAGTATGAATAAGTTCTAAAATCTCAGTAGTTTTTGTTCTATTATTTTCAAAAGGTACATTAGTCATTTTACTCTGAATACAATTTGAACATTTCATTTCTGTGCTTTCAATTTTATCTGGCAAACCATCAACTAATTTATTATTTATTATCTTATTTAAGTATTGAAAATTCACATGACCAAGTGCCCTATGCCATTTTTCTTTCTGCGTTAACTTTACAGAATTTGTGCATACTTCATTTTTTAAGACATAACCTTTTAAGCAATACAAATTATTAATTTTATCAGCAACAACTATCAACTCTCTAGACTCATTATATATTTTAGCACTTTCATTTTTAGCTACTATTGTACAACTATTAGTTACCTTTGAAAAACTTAATAAATTTTGTTTTATTCCTTCGACATAATAGACATTTTCTAAATCTACATACTTCACACTATAATAGTTTTTGAAATACATTTTTACAGTACCTACTTTGGTTGCTTTCAAGGTTTTTCCATCTGGTAATTTTACATCAACAAAATCTTTCAAATCTACACTGTCATAAAAATATGAATAATCATTTATAAGATGGTCAGTGCACCCACTATCTAAAAGCCAATTAACTACATTACTATTATTATTAAATGTTACCTTTTCATTACATCCGGATACCTGGTTTACTTCTGGTTTACATACTTCAGCTGTCCATACTGGGAGGGACCGTTGCTCGAAGATTCACCTTTAGGATGATTGCTAGATGAGTGGCCTTGACCTCTGCCTCGGCTGCGACCTCTGTAGGATCCTCTCTGATGTCCTCGCTGACCCCGACTAGACGACTGGAAACTTCCTTGAGAACTTTTTTGTCCTTGATTATTTCTCTGAGCGTGCCAACAATCCTTCTTGAGATGACCAGTCTTACCACAGACAAAACATTGAGCTCTTGTGGTGCTGGTTGTATATGTACTCACATTATTTTTCTTGTCATCGCACATAGTCATATTTTTCTCCTTTATTTTTGAATGTACATAGTCCACAGTCCTTTGTTCTTCAGGAATCACGTCCAGAAAATCTCCTATATAACTATAACTTGGTGGTAGGGCTCTGAGCAGGTATCTTAACTTTTCAGGTTCATCAATTTTACCTCCGGCTGTTTTGAATTCGTTTATGGATTTTTCAAAATCAACGAAGAAATCCTCTACTGTGTCGTAATTATTTAATTTGATCGCTTCCACTTTTCCTCGACATATAATTTGAAGAGATGTTGATTGAGTAAGATACATTTTGTCGAACTTTTGTAACATGTCAAAAGCTGTCTTGCACTCAGTGATATATTCTAATTGTTTGTCCGAAATAGTACTCATAATAATAGTCCTTGCCTTTAAATCCATCTTCTTCCATTCCGCTTCTGTATTTTATATTTCACCGGCATTATGCCTATGGCGGCCTCGTTGCATTCTTTGTATTCCAACAAAGTAACCAACCTTAATTTCCAACTCGAATAGTTTGCCCCATCAAAAATAGGTATCATGATGTCTTCTATTTTAGCTTGTTGTGCCATATTTACGTATATTCTTGTAGATTCAGACGTTTTCAAAACTAACTTTTCCGTTGTGACCGGATAACCTCAATCGTAATTTGATTTCATAATTGCACTTCATATTTAGGTATTGACTTTTTCGTGAAACCACTCAACCACGCTCTGCTACCATGTTGAAGTGGTGGATGTGGTTGAATAATAGATAATAGCTTGTTATATTTCGTAGTTTTATTAAAAATCTCACAGAAAGCACATGATGGGCGCCATGCAGACGACAAAAGGAAAGAATACAGATAATATATCGACGTCTATGAGAAACTTGCCAACTTAACACTAGATGGCGCTACTTATATTATTTAACTTAAGATTATAATATTTACCTTATTACAACAAATAATATACAGTTCTCGCGGAATGTACATAAAGTACAATGAGCTATGATTATAGGAATCTATGTCACAGGCAGTACCTAAAGCCTTTCCCTTCACACTTTATGAATTCCGGAGACATGTTCCAAACGCATGACTCAACATTTTAGACATTTCTGACTCTAAAACAGTTTAAACTTAGTATTTATTAGTAAAGTTGTGTTCCGAACATTTCTTCGTTCGATATTGAACCACAATGAGAACAATACCGTCGCACGCGTGTACTTGTGTAGTGTAGGGAGCTCATTCGCGTCACGTACTGAAGTACGTCGCATCACGACCGGGACGTATATGGGCACTGTGTGATCTGCCGGCGACTTTTCTTTTGTCTTTTTACCGGCGAGGTACCAAACTTCGGCGCCGATGTCGTGGGGACGCAATCACGCAAGACGAATGAAAATCCGCAGACAAAAGTTAATACCGCGGCCATGCCTCGTGCACTGCAGCTGCAGCAACTAAGACACATCCAACAATGTCATTAGGTTGCTTGTTTGATAAACTGGTTACAAATTATTTCAATAATGAACCAAAATTGACTGACTGCATATCCACCAAACTGTGGGCGTTTCGCATCAAAACGAAACAGCCAATTATATAGCTATAACATTATTTAAGTTCTGGCCAACCTGTCTGCTCTCGTCTGTCTGTGAGTAAAACCTCCTGTCGGTCAGTGTTCATATTTTTATGTCAGTGAACACTTTGTGTCTTAATTAGTGTCTGTCAGCGCAGCGGAGCGACCTTCGCCTCATCATTAGTTAAGTTGTACCGAGCAACAGAGCACGGCCCTTGTCAGACATGTAAATGAGGTTCGTGCAGAAAATTGTTCCGCGACCGAACTCTTTAAACTTCTTTTATTATCTAGTTTAGGTTTTTGTTGAAACTCATTTATATTGCAGAAACGCTCATCAAAACTCTCGTTACTTATAATAGCCACTGTAACAGAATGTTTGTTGTTGTTTACTTGTTGTCGTTCACAATGGAGACTTATTAGTTAATGTTGTTGTTACAGGGAAGCCTTGACAATGGCGTATTACCGGTGCGGGCCGACAGCCATCGGCAGCCGCACCTCGTGGGGCCCGGTCACGTCGCCCACCTCCGTGGAGCCCAAGAGCTATGATAGACCACTGAGCGGCAACTTTGATAGAATATTTAATGCTTTTGAGAGGACCAATGCCTTCGAGTACATCCGGAACTCATTTGAGGGCGGGAAAGAAGAAGAGGAACGTCATATCGGTCATGGAGACATCATAGTGAATAGAAAGATGAGCAGCAGCTTCGAGCGGGCAGACTGCGCGCTGGCGGCGCAGACACCATGCTCCGAGGATGAGGACTTCTACCGGGAGAAGATACTGTACTCGCAGGCGAGGCAGCTGTTCCCCTTGCAGGAGGACCTGGCCGACTGGATTAACAAGACTATCGGTAAGTGACGCATCACACCGAAGTGAACAAACACTTTTACTTGTTAAAAAATAAACTATTTAACTGAAAGCAAAGCTTAAACAAAGCCTGGAAATTGTGCTCTGAAGACACGTTGTATGACTTAACTATATAATTTGAAACGAGCGTAAAAAATTGCAATTTTACGAGTTTCTCCGACCTGCAAATGGCAGGTGAGTGCAAACGAAATGTTGCACATTTCAAGCCGGAGACTGATTTTCAATGTAAAAGATATCTTTCAGTATTAGTGATGTCATGTTACCAACCAATATGCTGAGAAAGTTTTCTGACGTCAACATTTGTTTCAAAACAAAATAATGCCTTCAAGTTGGTATTAGTTAGTAGTTCATTCAATAATGATTAGCAAATTAATAAAAAGTAATATCAATAAATTCTAATCAAAATGCGATTAATTCTGTCTGTAATTATTGAAATATATTGCATAGTAGTACACAGGGCCAAGGAATGGTAATAATAAAGAACAATTTGTATGGCGTGTGATTGTATCATCGCTGCCATATAGGTGAGCTCGCGGTGTTTTTGTGGCGAGCCGGCGAGTCTGAGCGTGGGCTATATGACCACGTTGTGTGTTGATAATTAGCAGTTAAACTATAATACTGCCATCCTATGACAGCACTCACATATCTATGTGTGTAGGTGGACATACAATCAACATAACAAACACTATAACTAATGAAGTTAACTACCGTCGCGGATTTATACCAAATAAGCTATTATTGAGATCACTCAATAATGATCTGTTATGATTATTGTTGTAGTTATTAACCAATAAGAGTGTAAGATTTAATAAATCGATGAATTGAGAACAACATCCAGCACATTTCTAGTAATAGTTTAGTGAAGGTACTAGGGCGGCACGTACTAGAAGAGGTCTGTGTGTCGAGGAGTGGCATTGCGAAACGGATGGACACCTTCACGCCGCGCGCCGCCCACGTGCCACTCGCACTGTGAAGACAAATGCGCAGATTTACGACGACACTCGATCAAAGGTGTCGCAAACGTGTTCCTACCCATCAAACTATAGTATAATATAAGTAATATAATTTTTTCGCCTTAGAAGTAAGAATATAAGATGCTATAGTAGGTCTTACAAATGAATTAGTTGTTGCATAGAAACTAAGCCACTCAGTTATGTATTCGTTTGTAATGAGCTGCTTCCTTCAGATTTTCCTTGATTGTTATCGGAACGATACAACAGCAACAGCAATAAAACATAATATCCGCCCCGACCTCCAGCCCTGTCAGTAAAAATATTGCTATTGATTGCTGTGTTGTTCTCTAACTAATGTCATTACTCCTCGCAACTTCCCAACGTCTGTTATTATGTCACAACGTCACAACATTATCATTTCTTTGGGAAATTCTTCCCTCCTCCGTACTAACGATATAATTCACGATAATCTCCGTAATGATGGCATTATAACAGATTATTGTGTCTTATAAACCAACATGGCACGCACGAGCCAGATATTACGTTCTCACACACATCTCCTTACTTATTTGTCTGTCAGGTGATCATCACCACCACCATTATGTACTTCAACAAGACAATGTAAGCTTTATATACAAGAGACAGTTGTCAGTTTACCATGAGAGATGCAATATGTTCGCACATTGTTCAATGTTGTACGCTTCATTGAACTCATGAATGTGCCGTGCAAGCGATGCAAGCGATGCCGGGTGGTTTGATAGGAATGGCGTCACGTATGTAGGGCAGTGCGCGATACCGTAACATAGGTAAGGCGAGTGATTAGTAAATAGTAATTAGTGCAACGCATGATTGGCGACGTCACACGCGAGTGCCGGCCGCGGCGGGTCAGCGGCCGCCCCGCCGCGCCGCCTGCCTGGCTGACGACACAGGACCACGCAATCGTGATGTAACCCAAGCATGTGCACTCACATACATGGACTGCATCGTATCTATAATTAGATCATTAGCTGTCGCGAGTTACAGTTTCAATGGTTTGTGTAATTGCGTCGCCCTCGATATTGGAACAACAATTACAACTGCAGAAGCGAAGACTCTAACCAAAATTAGCGAGTGTAATAATATTTGAACTATCGGACGGTCGCCACTTCGACAGTAACTAAGTGCTAATTACCTATCTAGGAGATATGTATTTTAATTAAGCAGACAGCAATTTATTTAATTACCAGGTTAAAGTGCGCAGGGTACCTACTAGGCGTGCATAAAATGCTAATGTTATAATATTAGGCTGTACCGTCAGCACAGTAGTGCCTCGTATGAACTGCCGCTGCCTAGACGCGGTGTTATGAATATTTAAATATTATTTTACGTTTGGTAGAAGTCAATAGACTAAGCGAATACTACATGCTTAAACAGTTATAATTTAGTCGCTTCATCATCGCAATAAATATGATGAATGCGAATAACAGTTTACATTGTTAATGGAAACAATATATTCAAGTACTGACAGGAATACCAAGTTCTAATTGCTTTGCTTTAGATCCAAGATATGAACATTAGCACACGGCAACCACAAGGACCCTATCCGCGTGATCTCATGTCTTAAATGATAATGAATGATAACAGCACGTAAAGTAACACCTTATAAATTATGGAGTTATTATTATTGCAATATAGAAGTTCCGTTGGCGGGCCGTTAATCGGCGCAGGCGCACTGTACATCGCTGCGCGGGCGCGGGCGGCTGGTCACCAGCATTGACATCCTTACGATACCGTTATTGGAATGCGAAAATTTATAATTAAGGTTAAATGCAATTATATATTCCCCATTTTAATAATAAGCTGTCTTTAATTGTGCGTTCACGAATTTGAGGTGTTTTCTCACGGACGCGAGTGGGGACCCGTTACAATCAATTGTATGTGTGGACGGAAAATGAATGTCATTCAACTAATGACATTACCCTCGGATACGACCACATCACTTTTAATGCCATCCTGAATTACATATTTAAGTTATTTATCTTATTACACTGGGGTGTTAGGCCTATGAGATGACTGATTGATACAGCTCACTGCCGAATTTCCCATTAATAAGAAATTAACAATGGAATCAGCTGTCTATGGAATAATTGAGAGACTTTACATCTACATGCAGATTGCGCATGTTTACTGATCTTAGTATGAATTCCTACACGCAATATTATTACCGAAAACAATTCATTGCCGGTTAGTTCGCTTACTTAGGTCACGTGAGTCCTTGTTGCACTTGCTCCGACTGACCGACGTAATTATTTATCAGCATGTATTCATTTTGTGAGCTGCGTTCAGCTTTGATTATTGTCGCACTAATTGCGAAGGAGAACCGCGAAAGACCGGTTCATTGCAGTATTGGTACATTTGGTATCACCAAACCATTTTTCTTGCCGAATTCATAATCTTGTATTGAAGATTATTAATAATTAATTTGTAGTGTTTATATCGTAACCTCCAGAAAGTCGCGTTTTTTCCTGAAGGATTAAAAATATATGTAACAGAAACAATCTCAAATGTTAACGCATTGGCACGGTAACGTAGCATGGGCATTCGTTTAGCAGCAAGTTTATTTGGACATTAGTATGACTAACGATAAAGGAAAACATTGCTATTAAAGTTGACATTTTTGCAGCTTACCACCTACCCTACCACATACATTTCTGCACTACCCAAAGGATGACTGGCAGAGAATGCTGTTGGCATTAAGTCTTCCTTATGCAATTGTATAAAACTTAAATAAATAAATAAAGTCTAAATTGGCGATTCTAGACAGAACTAGATAGAGCTGAGCAGAGCAAGCTTGGCCAGACTGATGGTTATTCATTCCTATTTCTTTGGTTCTCAGTATGAAAAGGATTTTCTAAGATTATTTAGACACCACTGACAAACGGTGAAGGAAAACATCGTGAGGAAACCTGGACTTATAATTTCTAATTATAAGTATGAAATCGCCAACTCTCATTGAGTAAACGTGGCGATGAATGCTCAAACCTTTTCCGTGTGAGAAGAGGCAGCGCATTCTGCGCATTTATAGGCTCAAATTCAAATTCAAATTCAAATTCTTTATTGCGTTCCACAATGTTTTACTTAGGTGGTAACATAGAATAATACAGTTCATTGTGGACCCTGTCGGGCACAGCAAGGAAAATATATAATTTGAATACAAAAAAAAACATTACATAAACAATATTAGAGCATTTAGATATAATTTGCCTGTTGTTTAATTTGGCTGTTGAATGCATGAAAAGGATTTTCACCAAGCTTAAATTAATACTGAGTGCCCACCAGTTATCGCGAGATCTCAGTTAGCTATACTTTGTTCACATAATTTTAGCATGCGAAGTTGCGATCCATTCGTCGGATCGGTTGACTTTCAATTAAAACATTTCAATAGGAGTCGCGTACGTGATACACTGCAATCTTGATTGTTGCTACCAAACAACCATTGTTGCAGTGTAGCCTGTGTAGCCATGGATTGTACACTGTACAATGAGATATTACAATCGCCATAATAAAAACATAAATAAGATTCAACCTTCAAAGTAGAGGTAGAATGGGAATATCTGTCATTGCGGACTGCAGTAGTTCTTTTCTGGTTACAGGTCTGCAGTCGTTTTTAACCATTGAAATTATTCGAGACAAGTGCGCTACAACCTCCCAACCGCTGCAACTTCTGTAAACCAAGATCTCATGTAGATCTAAAGTCCAGCGCTCCCATAGAAAAAATATTGATTTTTTGACTTAAGTACATTCTGTACCAACATTACGTTTAAATGCATTGTAAAGATAAAGATATAATCAAATTGTACTACGGAATGTAAGCGCCTATCGTATGAGTAAGAACATGTTCGCGAACTATCTCAGTGCTATGAAGTCCTAGTAATGCCATGCCGATCTACTTGTAGTTTGTAGTCAGTGGGTGGTCCCACACAGTCGCGCCGATATTATTTATCTTTTGCTCACGTTATATACACTAATGTATACATCGCACACGTATCTCCCGCGCATCCTAAAGCCGGTTCCTTGCGCCGGAGCACATACTGCCATGAGATTGCAGGTACTCACTGCACATAATAAATAACTTCATCGGCTACTCAGAATCTGTTTCAACTTGCAATACACGATTGAACAAAATTAGCTGAATGAATGAAATAAGGGCCAAATTTTCAAAGTTAATTCTTAACTGTAGAATAAAATTCATATTTGACAGTTTTGAGTATGGAAAAATTAAAACAGTTAAAATTTAACTGGCGTTGGAAAAATCGGTCCTAAAAGTCTTTCAAAGTATTTATTTATTTAAAGCTTCAATTCAACAGTAACAGATTTGGAAAACCACCGTTTGGAAAAGCACGTTTTGTCGACACTCTAACAATGTCGAACCAATGGTCCCCAGGTCTACAACACACTGATCATCTATTCTATTATTATCGTCCATATTTTAATTACTCAGAATAAATGTAATGAAGCTCGAAAATATTCCTACTTAATTTATTTCCTTCACCCAATAGGCTGGCACCCAATATTGGCCGTTGTAAAATAAGTTCAAAGGTCGTCGATTAATAAGCCTCCGAGGTACCAGGGTAGCAAGAGACCGCGGAGGCTGTAAGATCTCCAGCGGCTTAGGGTCATGAGAATGCGATCGATTTCGTTGCCTGCCTTAACGTCCGTCGTGAAAGTTCACCGTCCCGGTTTGGTGCTTCGTAATTATTGCTGGAATTGCACACTCCATATAACTATACAAATATGGCAAGTTTATTTATATAACGACGTGTCCGATGCCACCTGTAGTAATTGAGTATTGCAGGAAGTAAATATTACTCCGCACAGTAAACGAATTAATTTAGAAATTACTGAAACATTTTTTTGCTCACACGTTGCTAGTTCTTGGAGTGCACACAATATATCATTCGATGTTTATTACTCATCGCTTCATAATTCCGAATTATTTACTGCACGTACTTGTTGGAAGATTTAAATCACATTGTTTACGTGTACAACGGCCGGCCGGCACGCACGCGGCACGCTCCGCGGACCGCAGCAATGCTAGCTCCAAGAAAATGCCAGATCTGTAAAAAGCCGTCACTCAATAATCACTAACGGAGCTGGCAACCGTTACTAAGACATTTGTTTTTATAAGGTTTTGTTTGAGTTCTATGAAACTGGATTCACTTCCTGAATAAATCATAAGCAGTCATCTATAAGTAATTTACAAAACTACAATTCGAATTTAGGAACAATCTTTTCACCGTGTGTAAATGAATGCAATGCAACACTGTCATAACGTTGTAAACATGTTAGTATCTACTTAGATGACGAAGCTGGCGAATTTCGCAATCATACCAAATGAATATAACATGAGCCATTGATGTCTTTCAACTGCATACTGAGCGATGACCTACCATACCATACATCGTATTATGTTAGGTCTGTACTACAAGTACTATAGGAAAGATTTAATGGTCAATATAACGAGGAACGGATATTAAACATTATGTCAGGTGCTAGTAAAGCTTTATGACTCGCAATAGATAGTTGTATCTCTATAGCCGTTTGGATAAGTTTCCTCTTAGAACTTCTGGAAATATTACTTAATAGCTAAATGGTAGGAATAGGAACTGCTGAAGTAAGATTAATGATGAGACTGGAATACGTTATGTCATTATACACAGCGACAAAGCTTAACAGCTTTCATATTCTGTGTGTAAAATAGTAGTGCCAATTGGCTTGCATCGGTATATTACTTCTTTTAAGATGACAATAAACCCCAGAGACTGCTTCGTCGTCACACATCTTGGCAGTGGTCATAGTCTTTGTATCACGATTGGTAGCGAACGTCACGATTGTGCTTTCTCAGCATGTGTACTTACATTGTGTTCGAGGGGCTGACCATTGAGTGCGGTGGTGGTCCGCTGATACGTGTCCTATGTAACATTTCCTAAAATTACATGTTTTTTTGTTTTCAGGTATAACGTACCTGACGGGAGAGAACTTCCTGGACGTGCTGGACAATGGTGTGGAGTTGTGCCAGCTGGCTGCCGTCATACACGACCGCGCCAGGGAGGCGCTCGACCAGGGACTCATTGTGGGGGTCAGTATATTTTTCTCTTTTTTACCAGTTTAGGGTTGGCACTGAGTTTTAATCAGATTCGGCTAAATGTCACCGGAGCTACGGCCGTCTCTCTAAGTCCCTACCCTTCACAACCCTTGTAACATCTTTTCGAAATGAACATAAATTATTTTAACAAAACAGTGTTAACAGATTTTGTTTATGTGTATTCAGCCGGTGCCCCAGATCCGCGGCCGTTGCTGGCAGCGCGCGGCGCGGCGCAGCTTTTTCTCCCGCGACAACACTGAGAACTTCATCACATTCTGCCGGGAGCTCGGTGTGCATGAGAACTTGCTCTTTGAAAGCGATGATCTTGGTAAGTTTAATTATGTCGATCACAATATACTGTATATTACTCCTTCTTTTCTGCCCTTTTCCATAGTTATTTGGCATCGGCGCATTGATCGTCTTCTACCAAGCAATCTATTAGCTACTAAAACTGCTTTTCCTTTTACGACATTCATTTTAACACAATGAATCATTTCTTTCCTCTTCGTTTCCATCCACATTTCTGCACTCGATGACGCATTACAGTTATATAAGTAAATGTTATTAATTAATGTTTGATGTGCCTGTAGTACTGCACAACCAGCCGCGGCAGGTAATCCTATGCTTGCTGGAGGTGGCTCGCCTCGCCACCAAGTTCAATGTGGAGCCGCCAGGCCTGGTGCAGTTGGAGAAGGAAATCGCGCTGGAGGAACGGGACTCGGGGCTGGACTCCACCATGTCAGCCACCGCTTGGCAGTTCAGGGACTCTTCGCCACCACCGCGCGATGAAAAGTTAGTTCACATATCATATTACTTTTATATCAAAACAAAAGCCTAACTAATCATCTATTATTTGGTGCGTGTATTTCTCTATATAAGTGAGGTAATGATGAAAACTGTCTATTCCGCAGATCTGCCAATGAAATACCACCAAAGACACCAGATCCAGACTGTAAGTATTTCCATTTATTGACACATTGAAATAAAATAACTTGAAGAGATGTTTCTTGATGCTAACAAGGTGGTGTTTTTGTAACAGCACAACTGTCAGCGGTGGACAACGCGGACGCAGAGAGCACCAAGTCGGAGGGAACTGTTGCCAGCACTGACTCCGACGTGCCGCTCAAACCCACCAATGAACTTGATAAGAGGGTACGTACTATATACCTACTTACAGCAGATGTGTACACACCTGTAGATATTGTTTAAGATATGAGGCCTTAGTATGAGTTTCATTTACGTTTAAAGTAATCGTAACGAGTACGCGTTCAGCGTTCTGATTGGCCGGCGCCAATGAACCAACCAATCAGAGCGCCGAATGCGTACTCGTTACGATTACTTTAAACGTGGAACAAACTCGTACTAAGGCCTCAGAATGATAAACTCTGATGAGGATGTACAACTGTAGAATAAATTTTTACAAGTTATCTTTTCCTATCAGGTACAGTTGGTGACTCGGCTGATGGAGCGCGGCTGTAGCTGCAGCTCAGGCAAGTGCTCTAAGCTGCTGAAGGTGAAGAAAGTTGGAGAAGGTCGATACAACATCGCTGGCCGAAATGTTTTCATCAGGGTAAGTCCACTTGGAACAGTATCTTTTTAAGTTTAGAAAATAATAAGTATCTAATCATTTCAATGTAAAATATTATGTTCTATATTAACAATACTTTGTGATGTATTGCAGCTGCTGAAGGGTCGCCACATGATGGTCCGCGTGGGCGGCGGCTGGGACACGCTGGAGCACTTCCTGTCGCGCCACGAGCCCTGCCAGGTGCGGCTGGTGACGCAGGGCCGCCGCGACGTACTGCCCGTGCCCCTGGACGAGCCCACCGCGCCCGCACTCTCACCCGCCAGCAGTAGAGCCTCGCTCACCAAGGAGTGTTCAGTAGCCGGCACCGTCTCACCCGTCGATAGCAAAGCTTCCTCCATCAGCGGCAAGACGTCTCCCGTGGAGCTCCGCAGTGGCCGCTCCACGCGCGCTTCCAGTAAAGCCAGCAGTGGCAAGAGCTCCCCACTGCCAGACCCGCGCCGCACCTCCACGCCTGTCAAACCGACCTCTGCCAGGAGCTTGCGCTCCGCTTTGACTCTCCCCCTGCGCGCCGACTCAGTAGACGGGCGCTCTCCCAAGTCCCCCGCAGCGCGCAGCAGGAAGCAGTCTGCACCGTCCAGCTTCAGCACCCCCAACACACCAACTGGTAGATCTGTTAGAACGCCTCCCGTAGAGCACAGGAAATCACTCACCTCCGCTGCTTTGGCCACCACACCCACCACACCCAAGAAGTCACGTAGTATGAGTCTGGCACACGTACAGAAGGACGACAAGAGGACATTTTGTGGTACCGACCGACTTAACCAGGTGAAGAAAACTAGGAGTACCAGCGCAGCGACCACCCCCACCGACACCGCGGCCACCAGGAAGACTCGCAGTCAGAGTCTCGCTTCCACTCCCGTGAACGAGCCCAAGAAAACGTTTAACGGGACCAACGGCTATGCTAAAAAGACTAGGAGTATGAGTTTGGCGACTCCTGTCGACTTCAAACCACTGAACAAAAGTATTTCTGTGAATGGAGCGATGACTCAGGCCGCCATCGAGGAGAGTATCAGACTGTCACTAGCGGCCACCATCGCCGACGACACCTCCTCCAAGAAACCGTTTTTGCACATAAAAGCCAAATACAGAAGTCCCCCGCCACGGGAGGTGCCGCCCAGATAATAAATAGACGCGTCAATTATTCATTCCACTAGTTTTAAAGTTTGACACACTAAGCTAAGGCATCGGTATTAAAGTTCAATTAGTTTTGGTAATGTAAGCATTATTTAGATCTCTTTACTGAGCAATCTCGTGTTAATCATCTCGTTAGTAAGTAGTCGCTGTAATGTAAGTGACACGTTCATGCACTCCATCTGTACGGGAGAACTAGTCATAATGAATTTGTTATTGTAATTATAATGTACGCTACGATATGTTTACTTTAATGATATTTTCCAATTGCAATAATTACTGCTAATCTGATTATTCTTTGTGTTTCGAATCTTTATTATTTCTGAAAACTATTTTAGTTTTATTTTCTTTACGTGTGTGTGATAATAATTTTATAATTTCGCATTTTTTCATTTGACAATAAAGTAAGTGATTATGTAGAATTTGTTTTTTGAAATTATGTTTATTTTATTTTGATAATTGTTTGGATTCAGTGATGCACAGTAATCGATGTATTTTGTAGTTAGGATAGCAACACACGATTGTGGCCTCACGCGCATGCGACTCCACGGTACAAATATTGTTGTATAATCCACACAAGGTATATTTTCATATGAATCGATAGAGGATATTTTTGCACTGACGATAGGTATACAAGCACTAGATGGACACTACTGAGTCCTGCGACACTAAACATAAGTCACTGTGTTCATTATCATTACTGTACGAGTACGGCGATAGTGATAGTCTTAGGAGTCAAGACAAATTTGGTAGTCGTTCAATTTACTATTAAAAATTCGCTTTTTGAAGTTTTAGATGTTAACCAAACCTTCCCTACTTGTAAATTAAGAGAGAATGTTTGAAGCCCGTGAACCGTACACTAAGATATTATAGGGTTTAGCATCCTCGATGGTCTTCCAAGTTATGCTGTCCGTGGAACAAATTATCAAGTATGTTGTAGGTACGTGTATGTCACGCGAGAGCGAATGTAATATTTGATGATATAGGTACAGCATAACTACAGTAAATTAATGGTCCATACAAAGTACGAAACGTACGGAAAAGCATGAGACAAAGGTAACATACACCTACCTTACCGTGGCCCTTCTCGAATAATTTATATACTATCACGATACAAGTGATCCATTTTATTAGTCCTATTGACAGTATCTAGTGTAGCTTTAGACTTGGTGAGAATAATATAATAACCTGAGCTTAGCATTATACTATACAGAGTGATATACATGTAACTGCCGACCTACGTATCTGCAATACTGTGCCAACGTTTAATTATGTATGGTTGATAATAAACTTTTTGATATTCAATTATGTAGTTGTTTTATTTATGCACTGAGATTGGCGCACTGCGACACCACGACGTAATACGCACAAGTTGATTTAGTGCTTCATACGTAAGTAGAATCATTAATCATCATGGTACTTAGGACATCTTTCTTGAACCTCTTTACCAACAACAGTTGACCATATCTTACTAAAGTTCATTTCGAGGTCCAAAACGAAACTAAATAGGAATACAATTAACTGAATGACCTAAATTCAACTTACATATAAATCAAGATTCAAAAGGTAAGAAAGTTAAAACAATACATTACTCGATTACTATACATCGAAATGTTAATGATGAATGCATGCGCAGTGTCGGCGGCAGGCGGCAGCGAGCGCGGGCGCGGGCGCGGGCGGGGGCGGGGTGGCTGCAGGGCGGCTGGTGGTGCCGGTGCGGGCCTCGGTGACGCCGCACAAGCGACGCTACACGTACTACAACAAGATGTACAGACCCATGTGCTACGAACTGCCGCGACCGTTCACTATTTCACTAGTCTAGTGCTACATTACACGGTGGAATTAATAAATAATGTCATATGTATGGAATTACTATTAACATTAAGTTACTTGCTTACGAATATATAATAATAAGAATTGCTACAGAAAATATTAATACAGAAAGATGATATTGAACGTACTATGGATACATACTTGAACCCTTACTTCAGGGTCTGTGTGTCACTCAAAAGCAAAATTAGACCCCACGTCGAATAATCGGGGCGCAACTCGTCCGTAAACCGAAATTGTCGATGAAATAAAAATATTACTACTAACTAAATAAAATATTAAACTGAAAAAAGAACTTCTATACGAAAAGAAGTATTCGGAGTCGCGGAGAACCTAACGGGTTTCCGGGGCTCCGGCTCGACGTGTAGGAGAAGGAACGGGGTGGTTTAGTCAGTAAGAGTCTGACACTCCCTCCCGCCTCACCCAGGCGGGAGCAGTCATTAAAAATACGAAAAGAAGTATCAAGTGTCATAGTATAAAGTATAAAGAAGTATGAAGTATCAATCTACCAATAGTTTGCTACAAAAATACATCATATTCGTTCCGAAGTAGGAGTTCATAAGGTAACATAGCAAGAAGAAGTAAGCACAAACATGAACAAATTATGTTAATGGTAATTGCAGTGTAATTATTACAAATAGTTCTCAACAAACCAATAAAGCCAAACTGTATGACATCATGGCCATCTTTGAAAGGAACTATAAAGTTTGTCCACTTGATTCTAGTCATATTTTAGGTTGTACACAATTATTTGTCAGTTCGACTTCACTAATGGAGGTTGTTTTGAAGATAAATTGAATGTGTTTGGATTGTAAAGTTTTCGATTTGACTAGATGAGTTCGTCCTCGGACGCCAGCCAGCTTCTTCAGCTCCGAGGGGAGTTGAGCCAGGTAGCTACTGGCGGACCGGCGCGACCTGCACCACCTTGTTTGTTATTTTTGTGTCAAATAAAAATAAAACATCATTTTAATATTTATTTATTAAATACCTTAATCAGGTAATACAAAATAATTCAAAATTAAGTATAAAATTAATTTAAAGTAGGAATGACTGAATAAATGCTATGAGAATAGTTCATAATTATATCCGCCTCTCTGCAACTCGCATAGTTTACTTAGTTTCAAACAACTAGAGAGCTATTACAATAACGCTATTTCAAAGTACATTTTGTAAAGCGTTGTTTTCGATACCCAATAAACTTTTTCAATTATAAAATCCAAGTAAAGTCAAGTGCGTGCGAATCGTTTATAGGCAATAGTAAATATTATAATTTATTACGTCTAGCTATTTTCTTAGTCGCTACGGTAAATAGGCAATTTTATTACACGCGATGTTATGTCAGTACACAATAAACTATGATAAACATAACTATGTTTATTACAATCATATAAAACTAAGGACTACACATAGTGGGGTGCTCGCACATGCAGGGGCAGCTTACAAGGATACACACTCCACTGCACGGGGAATGGCTGATACTTGTCCAATGATCCGCGCTGATACTAGAAGCCCATAAAACATGTTCGAGTACCCCTCCCTACAACTACATCTTGTAAATAAAATAATGCTTAGTTATCTCATTTAATACATTTGGTAAAGTCACTCCGCATACTTGATTAAATCATTTGGCCAATTACACTTACATATACTTAGGTATCATACAATCACTGGCGTGTCATCGATTTAGATTTGATTTAAAATGTCTATTTTGACACTACCAGTACCTACACTCACCAAGATTTGCATATTCATTTTGACTTATTTACGCAAAGCAAATGTTTTTAATAGTAGGTCAAATTTGCGCTTCACAATAATAATTCTATACAGTTAAAAGTTTCAGATAAAAGTATAAACAAAGAAAGAGATAAGAACAATGTGACACAATAAAAACTAAATCAAAGCAAGATATACGATTTACGTACGATTTTACGTTTTAACGTGAATTAAATAGATTTGTTCTGTCGTATTATTATTTGAAAATGTAAATTGTAAAAACTTACATAAGAATTGTTAAGTAAAACTATTTACTCACGCGATAAAATGTAAAAAACTCCACTCAGTTGTCACACAATTAATTAACTACTGATATAGTTGTTATCTTGAAAACCTTTTGTAGAGTTACGGGAATAAGAGCCGACGACGAATAGTTGGAACTCTCAGCATAGAAAGATAGAAGTCATCGTCTGCCGGAGGTTGCATGTTTATGTTGCGTGTTACGTTACATGTGGCGTTGCGTGTCACGTTACAGGTGGCGTTGCGTGTCACGTTACATGTGGCGTTGCGTGTCACGTTACATGTGGCGTTGCGTGTCACGTTACTTCTTCTTGCTCTTCCCGAGTGTGAGCGTGTGGTGCGACTGCGCAGTTTGTTGCTTGCGTCGGTTGAACTCGATGGTGTCGTCCTCTATCTTCTTGCGCAGCTCCTCCAGCCGCTTCTTCTCGTCCGTGTGATCCTTCTTCAGTTTGTCGAATTTCGCGTGCAACTAGAAAATATATTTAGATTATTGTATTGTAATAGGACTGTCGTAGGAGTTGTCGCAAGTGTGAGTGCCGGGCAAGGGGTTTCGGGTTCGATTCCCGGGTCCGACAAAGTAATATTGGGATTTAAAAAAAAATCTCAGTTGTAGCAAGGACTCTGGTATTGTGTCCGGTATATGGTAATAGTCTCACCCCCTATCACATGGGTCTCATAACATAAATAGTGAAAAGTAGGTGTTACTTCTGTGTATACCTCTGCCTACCCCCTCGGGGTTAAAAGACGTGTTATTATGTTACGTTATTGTATTATAGTTTTTCTACAAAAAGTCTGTTTAATTCAACCATAACATTCATATAATATTAAGTGTAACATTTACTTTTTACTAGTTTGTTATGAATCCCACGTAATATAAGTGTATAAACGCATCACCATACACTAAGCAGCGAAAAATTATTGACTTGTTAATTGTCACTGACAACTTTCAAGAATGCAGTCGTGTAAAGTGTTGAGTAATAATGAGTATACCTCTTTCTCGGCCTCCTTGAGCTCGGCTTCCTTCTCCTTGACTCTCTGCACGAACATCTGCCGCATCTCGTCTTCCTTCTGCTGCAGCTCCGCCAGGTGGGCGCTGCGTTTCTGCTCGAACGTTTGCTGGAACGATACCTGGGCGGAACACAAAAGTGTTTTATTCAAATCAGTGTATTTTTAATGAAACTCTTCCGTTAATGAGTCGGCTACTGACAGCCAACGCACTGCCGAAATTACGAAGCTGAAACCTAGCACGATTCTTTGGGGTATGTGAAGGAAGACAAACAGAGAATGTCCTTAAAAACTCATCCAAATCATCTGTTAGGGTGACCTCACTGGCTGAAGTTTGTTTTCAAAAAAATAGGAATTCTGATATTTAGAATTAGGAACTCGAGGATATTATAGTGATATAATAAGCATCTCACGGGTTTATTATCTGCGTCGACGTCTGTGAAGCCCATCTGCTGCAGTCGGCGGCGGCGGTACAGCTCGTAGTGTCGCGCGTGGGTCTTCTCGCGGAGGTCCTCCATGTTCGTGCGGATCAACATCTCGCGCAGCTTCACGAAGTCGCAGTGAGACTCGTTCTCAACTGAAACATATAACGACAATGTTCAAAGATACTGATTGTATGACAAAGGTGACTTTTGCATACACATACAATGATGTTTGTATTGCACACATCTTAGACGCAACCGAGTAGTCAGCTCACTTGATGGAGAATACTCGGCGCCCGCAACACCATGAGAATAAAAAGCGTATTACCGCCTTATTTTGAGGAGTTTAAGTCATGTTGAACTTTGACTATCGATTGTAAGTTTGCCAGGAGAGCAGAAACCGCGTAAGTGACATTATATTTATTTATAGGTATGTAGCATATGACTTACCCTGCACTGTACCCCAAGGGTACTGCCTGGCGCGCACGGTCTTGTTCCCGATCTTGACGAAGTCAGTGGAACCGACCACTGCGAAGGGAATGTGTGAGTTCATCACGCTGTTCACTCCGTCACTGACTCATCATCCACTGGGAACTGGTAGATCTCCACAGAGTTCGCTTGCAGCTCTTGCATTATTTTAGACTGGAATCAAATAAATAAAATAAAATTTAAATAACTGTTTTATTTTGTTAATACTAATAAAATTACACAAATAACATTTCAAAGTTAACCGAAACTATAAATACAATCAAATAATATTTTAGTGAAAGTGGCGATAGGAAGTAGAGTGTCATCATACTCATTATACTTGCAAAACAACCTGCACTGCAGTCATTGCACTACTAGAACCTGATACCTATTGCATCGTGAACATTAGACTAAGAATAAGTTAGTCCAAAATTACTGAAGTCGTAAGAATTGCTCTAAATCTGTTCATTGCATCAAATTCATGAGAATTATTCTAGAATTTATTGTAAAAAATAACATATTCCAACTTATCTGAGAAAAAAAGGATACATTTTTATGATATTACAGAGAAAGTCCGAATTACACACATGACACATGTGTACAGTTTAGTAATAATTCACAAGGAAATGAGTCACAACATACTTGTATAACTGTATGAATCACGTAGACATGCCATACAATTATACATAGCAATGTAAGATGCAAGTTGTACAAACAATGTGTTTGTTTGTCTGCTTGTGTCTGTTGCTTGTTGATAATTGAATGATCATACTTGTGTGTCAATATTTGTAGTTAGTGTTAATACTAGAACACATTATGTAATTAGGAATATAGTATTGTATAAGATACATCACCTGTTCGTTATACATATACATTATAGTAGAACTATCAACTTTTTTGGAAATTTTGAGGTAAAATACGTCTTTCCTGAGTACAGTGATATAAAAGTTAAACATTTCAATAGATTGAATACAAACCCAAAGTACTGAAGTAACATTACATGTACCAATGAGGTGGAAAAATTGAACTGTATGTGTTGGGTTAGTAGTAAACTTTCACATGAACTGGCATAGTGGTTTGGTAAACCAAAACGGGTACAAATAGACCCTTGGCGCCATATTCACATGCAACAAAATATCTACACATGACTATTCACTGGTGCAAGGCATGATTTTCCTTTGGAGACTTTGATTGTTCAGTTAAAGCAATTCCTACCTTGAACTTCTGCAGCTCTGTCTTGGAGATGGTGTCAGCTTTCGCGATGATGGGGATGATGTTCACCTTCGTGTCCAACTTCTTCATGCACACCAAGTCTATGGACTTGAGGCCATGACCTGCAAGTTACAAGAGAAATTATTTTAATAAAGACATCTTTTACAATATTTTATACAAAATCTTTAGCTTGCAATTAGGATTATTAATAAGGAAAATACAGAAGTGTAGTGTAATGCAAATATGTCCCTATATTTTTTGTTAACTTTGTTGTGCCAATTTAGACCTTAACAGTTTCGATTATAATTTTATTTACGCAAATCCTTCCTATGACTGTATTTATTTTTTGGGCCAATTATAAGTTCGCTGAAAAAGCAACAAATTTCATGTCTCTAGAGTTTGAGTGAATGAGAAATGAAATTGTGTCCAAGTAGCGCGTGTGACAAAACCGAGAAATGGCGCGCCGCAGTGTAGCGTGGCGACAGGCGGCCAGGCCACCGCGGCAACTTCCGTTATCACTCACTCCTTATATCTGTGCGCCCTTTCTTTACCATATACAAAGCCACATATTATAATGCGTTAAGGGGTTAACATGTCAACTGTACGTACCAATGAGTAATTAAGTACCTACAGACAGTTTTTAGTTCCTAAAAAACTTTCATCATAATACACTGTGGCAATCAATTCAATTTTAGGCTCAATAAACACGTTACCCACTTTTAGTACTGAAAGTAGTCCAATTGTTTGATTTATTCGAATGCGCCGTATGTACCGTGAGTACAACATATCACGGCAGCTGCCGCTCTTTATTAAGCGAGGTGAGTTGTGAGGTCGGTGTAGTAGTACAAAAATAATGAAGTTGTACAAGTCATAGCTGCTCAGACGATAAATCATAATATCCACTAATATCCAGTCAACAAAGTAAACACAGTTTAGCTACTACAAGTAGATGTCTAATTAGGGTAGAGTTACGTGTGTGTATCACGCATGCCCGCCCGATGCACTTGTTTTGTTTACATTACACCAGCACTGTTGTGTACCCACACAATCAGGGGCGAGGAATTACAAGCGCTTCCTATGTTACCACTAATTGGGGATAAACAAATGAACAGCTACACGATGGACATCAGATTTACACGAGTAGAGACATTTATGTTGGGTTTAGATCAACGGCTTACGTAAAAGGTGTACTGATAATAATTTACTAAAGATACATCAATCAAATTGCAAGACTTTATTATTATTTGCTTTAGAATAATCACTTTACGAATTACTGGAACCAAGAGATAAAAACGAGGAAGGTAAATTTGATATCTCGATATAGGTAAATAATTGAATATTTTCCTCAATCATAGTTGTGGTAACAAGTAAGCAGGTATTATTCAAGTATTGTGTTCGATCTCGTGTGCTGTGGAGTCCCGTTATAGTCTCGAGGGAGCGGTAGAATTCGAGGACGGCATTATAGTATGTCGCGCGCGGCCTGAATAAATCCTACGTGTTGATCGCGCGCGTGTCAAGGACAGCTCGTAAAAATGTCAACCAGTGGGCCATCAGTTCTATACAACAATATGTAGTGAAAGTTCATATTGTAATAGTAACCTAAAATAAATTGATAACATCATTAACCTTAAAACATAATTATATCAATGAAATTATTTTACTGTTTAAATCAGCAAGACATCTGCTTACTCAATAAAATACTCATCCAGTCTCATTAAAAACAAATGCATTCTAAATAAAATGGCTACTTCATCAATTAGTGATAAAAAACAAACTGATAATGTTTGTTGTAACAGATATCTTTGTTTGTACTTACATTACTACCTAACCTGTAACTACTGAATGAATGTAACTGACCTTAATTACGAACAAAATTAACATACAGTACAGTATGTATAAAGGATTGGCCTACCATCAATTTAACTTATGATGGTTATGTATTATCTTAAACTATTGTGTAGGAGTAGGAGTGACTAGTGGTATTTATGAACTTACCAGTAGGACAAATGAAGTACAGACAGACATGCAGCCTGCTGTCATGGTATTGAGGCAGGGCTCGTTTTATCTTCAGTTCCTCCTGTAGGTATGCCTCAAACTGCGCATCAATGTAGTCCACCACGGCTTTGAAACTGTCCTCCTTGTTTACTTGGTCTCCATACCCCACTGTGTCACAGATAGTCAGCTGCAAACCAAGAAATTATTTTATTTATTTATATCATAAGCATTAATCAAGACTATAATTACACATTAACAGGAAAATGTAATACCTATTTAGTCCATGAATTGTGTATTTATCAAAGGTTGTAAGTTAATTTTAGAATAATCTAGCTAGAAGATAGACATCAGAAAAAAAAATTTAATAAGAATTCATGTGACATTAAATTTGTAATTTGGATTATTTATTAGGTCACATTTTAAGTTTAACACCTTATGAGAATTACTTGCCCAAGTTATCAGTAGAGCTGGAGATTAAAAATATATTATATAAAGTTTATGTAGTTGACTACATTACTTACATAGTTACATTTTAGGATTATAATTGTGGCAAAACTTCATTCATGAATATTAAAACACAGGAGTCATAGACGGAAAGATAAAACATTGAAAACCTTACCTTCAGTCTAACACTACTCTCCTGCAGCTCATATGTGTGTGCCTTCAGCTTCACTGTAGGCAGGTTGTGGGGACTCGGGACTGATTCAAAGTTGGTGTTGAACAGGGAGTCCATCAAGGTTGACTTACCAAGCCCCGTCTCACCTGCACATACATAATTATATTTGTATTTTTGTTACTTAATAATAGTATAGTACGCTTATTAGGATGAAGGTACCACCTAATGATTAATGAATGAGGTTACATGTTACCATGGTAGAGATAATGTAGGCGGGTGACGGTGATTAGCTAAAGTAGGTAAGAACAATAATTAGTCACTGTCCTTCCTTACCTATGCACAGGATGTTGAATACGAATCCATTCTGCACGCTCTTGTTCACCAGCTGGTCAGGCAGGCTGTCGAAACCGACGTGCCCCGACAGCTTCAGGGTGCGCATTAGCGTCTCCATCTAAAATTCATAACTTATCTCAACACCACTGACCGAATTCAAACTATTTTATCGAGTGACTCGACCCGACGCATTCGGGGATACAACGTAATTGACGCAATTAACCTACGTAAACACAATGTTTGTTGTTTGCACACCGGTCGAAAGGAATGTGATATTTACTATTCTGTAACGATAATAAACACAGCAATGGTTTCAATTCCAATTTTTTTTGTCGGAAGAGCAACGCCCTTAGTTTCAATTTTCTTTATTAAAAAGTGAAGTAAAGGCTTATTTTAATATGGGGATCACTAGTAAATAATAACTTTTATAAAATTCACTACTGTGTTTCTATAATTATCGAATATAAACAGAAATACACATAATTTCACTCACTTTTTGAGGCTCAACGTCGATCGCCGCCATGTTTACTTTTTGACTGATTCTAACAAAGTGACATGAAAGTAGCTTTACTTGTACTGCATTTGTAACTGTGACTAACTTCACTGTGACCTTAATTTCGTCATTAAATTCAATGAATTCCAACGAATACTTGTAAATATAATACAGAAGAATCAAAAATAAAAGCCACAGTCTTTGCAATGAATAATCATTTTCTACAAAGTCGGCAAATACAAAATAACCGCGCATTAATTTTTTTTTGGCCACACTCTTTATTTCTTTGAAATAATTGTTGTAAAGACAGTGGCGCACATTAGTAGATAGTCTGATACCTATTTTAAATGCATACTACTAAAAAATAAGACGGAAGAGCTAAAATCTTATTCATATTTTCTACCATTTTCATAATGACAGATGGTTTAGTAGAAATAAAAAGGTAAAATTTAGGTAATCGCATATGGCAACACCACCCTAAATCCAAAATGGCAGAATGCGACTTTGGTGTGTTATCATGTGAGCCGAAGGAATAATGTTTTCTTGAATTTAAAGGTCGTAAGTGGATTTTAAAATTGTGTATCAGTGAATTGTGACATAATAAACCATGGCGGACTTAAAATCGCCGCCGTTTAGTGATATCAAAAGACCTGAAGAAGTGGTCAGGATGACGACGAACGATAGCCTGAAATTCGCTGTTCTTATCGGGCTGATTGAAGTCGGACAGGTGACCAACCGGGAGGTGGTGAACACCGTCCTGCATCTGGTAAGTCGATATGCAACTTTCCACCACAGCTACACCATTATCGCAGAAGTGCATCAATGTCAAATTCTGATTAGAATCCGCTTAGGTTATTGGATTAGACACCTTGTATTTTCATGTTTTTTGTTATACTACGTTGGAACTAAAATCAAATGTATATTTTATTATTCATGGTGATTATTTATTGCCCTAGCGATAATGCAGTAGCGTGTAGCCGACCGAGAGCCGCGTCTATTTTCATTGTTTTTATCGATCGCGTTTGGTCGTGAATCGCAGGATCGCGCGGCCAGCTCAGCGGCAGCGGCCGGCGAGCGAGCTGTTTGTTTTGATATTTCACTGCCGGCCGTGCATACTTTCACGACGAGCCACCAGAAGGCTACTGATTCAGTAACGTGCATTTACGCATGAAGCCGTATTGTTGATTACCTGAGGTCGGTACACCCGCTGCCGTAATTGATGCGTAAAATAATGACGTGGGTTTTACCTTGAATGCTAAAATTATAAGTTTTTAACTAGTTATCTCTATCTTGGTTGCAAAACCGCCTGGGCCATGATTTCACGAACTATGACAGGCCATGCGCGTTCCAATAAATAAAACTATAACTTGTAAAGTCCTTGAAACTTCCTTCAGAGTTCTAGAACGTTGACATTAAGATGGGAGTTGCAAAGAAGTGCCATAAATTATGCACGGCACATACGCAAGTGCATATACCCACCTACAAAGAATCACTTATTACGTCCTGTAACATTGTTTTGAATGCAGCATTGAATCGATTTGAAACTATATTTTTTACATAACCACCTAATACCTGGTTAAAAAACCAAAACCTAATACCTAATTAAATTCCGCTTCAAAAATTTGGTCGAAGTTATTTTACGAAAATGTTAAGACTTAGTTTTCTTGACTTCGGTTTTTTGCAAGAGGGTTACGTTTTTGTACCTACTTAGGTAATCCAAACGTGCATAGTGCACTTGAATTGTTTGGTTTCTACAACATTGGCACAAAATGTTTACAATAGTTATGTATTTAACCTCTACCTACCTCAGTTATTTATCTAAACATTGTCAAACACTCGTTAGTAGTTTTACGTCATGTTTAATTTGATAGAAGTTCATATGTTATGGTTGCCTAGTTATAGCAGAAGCCTCAAGATTCAATTGCCTTTAGATGATTCGATTTAGTACCTACCGAACTATTCGATTGCCTGAAAACCGGCTAAACCTGTTTTCTATCATGCTTAGGTTCTGGAGGTCTCTCAAAACATTGTTTCTATCAAAAATATTAGTTTCATAAGTGAACCTATGAACAGTCGTCAAATAATAATGATTTCTATCATTCAGATAGATGGGATCTTCTCTTTATCACCAGCTCCTACGTGATAACCTACATAAAAAGAACTTCGTGTAAATAAGATTGCTATGAAGTCACACAGTATTTACACATCTTACTGTAATTGCTTAAATTGCGGAATTGTGTATGTAAGTAATGTTTTTTGTGTATGAACTGACAAGGCAAAATATCGAGTCATTCAATATCATACGGCGTGTATTTTTATCATGATTAAGTAATCTACGATCTACACGACTGGTTGTTACTTGTCCGCTTTACAATACAGTCTATCGATTACAAACAAGCTTTTACTGACTATGAAAAATAAGATCGATACAATTAACTACCTTGCTCGTATGGAATAGGTTCTAGGAGTACAGAACTACAAGATTGTTTCGTTACAGAAATGGTGAGACCGGAGGCGGTTCGAAATTACTCACTTATTGAATGTTTTAAGTAATTTTATTAGTACCTTTAACACAATAGATCGTTAAAATGCAAATGTGGAAAGTACCTAATCAAATAGTATAAAACAGTATTTGCTTGAGCATATAAAATTGCAACGATATAATTTCTCCATTCGTACTTGACCGCGACCTTGCTCTATGCAGTCGAGAACCAGTGTTTTTCTCCCAACCAGTCGGGCGGCTTCGTCGACACTCGACATCGATCTAATGACACGATACTGTTTCTTTATTTTGTTACTGACCAACAGATGCACCTTTACATTACATCATTTATCTCTTTTTAATGCCTTTTGATGTTTAAACTGGTTTAGAAGAGAGGTCCGTTAGTCGGGCATAGATAATATCATATCCACACTCATCCATATTTACAAACACAATGCATGAACTTCATATGTAATCCACTAAGGGATATTGGAAACCGATGCTAATGCATTAACACGATTAATCAATGGATATTTAGAATAAGAGGTGACTAGCGTGGTCCGGAAATATTTTCGCTCGGAATAGCGTCGCTGTAAACCAATTAAATATGACCCGCGCCCGGAATATAAGTAATTTCCATCCGTAAGGGGTTAATGGCACGGCACACGGGACTGGTCGGATTAATAAATACGTGGTACCGTTTTATTTCTAATTAAGACTGATGCAGAATTTCTGTACCATTCCTGTACTTCGTATTAAGGCTACATATTTTTTTTGTATTCTATTATGATTACTAGAAAGCAGCAGAGTTACCGAATTTCAGCGTATAATGACATAAAATAGTGCTTCACAGAGCACTACATTATCTTTCTAAACATGTGGATATAAGAGCAGTGTCGAAATAATGTTTCTCTGCAGAGCGTTTCCCGACCGAGCGCTCCAGGACTGGCAGGAAATTGAAAAATTCAGTTCGTTCAATCGAGCCAGTGCAAACAGGGAAATGTCTAGATGAGATACCATATACCACTATTAACCATATGATTCAATGCCAATATCAACGCTATGGGAATAGCTAGCTGGCAAGGAGAGACAAATCTATCATAAATGTAATTTAATAATGAATAGTTTATTGTGCATAAACTATACATTTTAATATTTTCAATAATAACTATAATAGAACGTACCTTTGATGGTATTTCAAAATAATATTATATTAGCGATAAAAAATGTGTTAACAAACAAAAGAAGCCCCTAGATAAATTATTTGAAAAGACTTATTTCAATAGACTTTCAAAATATGAAATGTGGCAGCATGATTCCAAAATGTGACATTAACGTCGCGACACATTTATCGGCAGCCACCCATCCCATCCCAGTGCCAGTCCGCGCTTACGTAAGCGAGGGATCTAGATGTCATCACCGTCTACTGCACCGAACTTAATGTTTTATTGACAAAGCCAGAAAAGCCAGAAAAGCACAACCTTTAAAAAAACTGGCATTTCAAACGAAAGAATTGATTTTGTTAAGTACCTGCAGATAGGTACCCTTAGATACCTTTAGCTTATCCTCTTCAAGTTAATTCAACACAAACACATACATTACACACAAAAACATAATCTCAGTAGCAGCACAAAGTCTGGTAATGTGCCCGGTATGTATGGCAATAGGCTTACCCCCTATTACATGGGACTCCTAACACAAATAGTGAAAAGTGGGTGTTACATTTTGCATTAAGTGCCGTAATGTGCACATCTGCCTACCCTTTCGGGGATAAAAGGCGTGTTATGTTACATAAATTTCACTTGACTACTTAAATACGATTAGTTATCTCAAATTGTGTAGGGGATTGTAGTCGTAAATCATACCAAAATCCACATTTAACTATTGAAGTGCTGAAAGAATTGATTATGAGACGGGAAATTTTCGTATTTATTCAAGTTTCCCGTATAATTTATTACACTAATGTACAGAGTAACGGGTGTATCATTGACGATCAGTTTCACTAACAGGTGGCGCTACCTGCCTCGTGACAGAGCAGCCGGTGCGTTGCGTGTGCGCATCCACCTGGCACGATTGTTTATATGCCCGCGGCTGGGGTTATTGTTACCGGCCTTATGAAAGTATTAGCGCGTGCGCGGCCTTCGCTGTCCAAATGTTATGTAATTTACGTTGGAACCGGTTTTACGTTTCAGTTGTATAGCTATTATGTTTTGCTTTGTCTAAAATCCGTAATACTTTAAATAAATTTCCATGTTGTGCAGTTCTAATACCAAAACTACGCCAAGTTAAGTTGCTTATTATAACGGAAACTTGTTTGTTTTTGTTCAGAAATTTAATTTTTGTTCTTTGCGTTGCTATTTAATTTTGAAAGATTTTCTATATGAAGTCTTAGAAGTTGATTAATTATGTCTGGCTACGGATTCCTCGTTCAACCACGTGGCTGCTCCTACTGTAGTTACAAAGAACTTGAAACTAAATATAAAATAAAACCGTAGGAAATATGTAGTTAATTATTAATTAAGTATTATGAATGTGTCTCTAAAAATTATACGAATAGAATGCTGCTAAAGAAGATTACAAGGCCAATTTGTTAATTAGGGTACAATTTGATTGTTCAGGCGGGAGGATCACAGTAAGTACTCGTGTTAAAGCCAAGAAAATTCGTCGACGAAAAATTTCCCAGGAAATAATAAGTTGAAAAAACACGAGCAATGTCAAGATAAGTAGTCATCTGGGAGCCTTAAATAAGAATGTTGGGTAAACTTTTTTAAATTTCAAAGTTCCTCGTGGATCTTGCGATATCATTTCAAAGTAAGTGCTTCTTAAGGAGGTTAAAATCTGATCTAGCGTTTTTTCGACTTTCGCAGTTCAGAGAAATAACTTGAATAATGCGTGCGTATGCTAATAAGGTTGTATTTTTCTCAGTACGACTCCAATATATTTTCTTGATATATTAAACTGATTTTAGTGTTCTGAGTATTCCGTACTGTAGATGCTTGCTAAAATATAGAAAGAATATTCCTGGCTGTGTAACGTAAAAGGTACATATCATATAAAAACAAGACGCGATAGAGTGGTTTCGAGTCTAGTTTAATGAAGTCCGTGGTAAAAAAAACTGAATGAGTGCATGTAAGCAGAAATATGCAAAGAGTGCTCTCTCCGATGCATTAATTAACAATATCTGATAGCGGAGTGTCTGGACGTGTAATGGGACGCTGCGCGTTGCGGTCTGCGGTACATGGCACGCGCGGTGGGCGGGTAACTAAACTGCTAAGGGAGACTTA